AAAAAAAAAAAACAACAACAACAAAACGAGAAGCGACGGCAGGGGAAGCACCACACACCTGTGCAACTGTGTGTCATACACCCCCCTCCACCAGGGGGGTGGCGCAACGCCCTTTATCAGATGCCCCGCCGTCGCTCACGTTTCGTTTGCCGCAGAATTGCATCTATGCTCCACATGGCGCCGAAGCGGTGGGTCCCTGCAGCGGCCCCGGGCTGGGGATGGAACACAAAACGAAAAAAAAAAAGCGAGTGACAACAACCAGAGTGCAGTGTGCGTTCTATCATGGGGGAAGGCGGCAAGCAAAAACAACAACAAAAAAATCAAACAGCAGAGGAGGGTGTGGTGGTGGCGGCGGTAGTGCAGCGTGTTGTACATACACTCCATGATTTTTTTTCTTGCGTTCTAACAGCAATCGCCACGAAGTTTCTTCACACAGTTGGGCTTATTACCGGCCTCGGCGTTCTCCTGCCTGTTCTCCTTCTCCTCATCTGCCACCGCGTCGGCCGGCCGCTTGCGTGCGGAAGCGGCGGAGCCCGGTGAGATCGCCCTCGCCGCGCTCCCAGCGTCGGGCGATGCGGACCCGGGGCACGGCGCCTCTTTCTTCACGATGTTTTCGGGGCTCTCTTTTACCTGCGTTGCGGCACTGCACTTCTCCTCTGCCTTCTCCGCCTCTGCCCGCTCCTTCGCGATGTAGCATGCCCTGCAGGCGGCGATGTACATGTCGGCCCCGCCGATAAGTTCCCGCTTGTCGGAGTTGACGGTGCGGTACGTGAAGGACGCGTCACGTGTGTTGCACTCCATGCAGACCGCGCTCAGCTTCTTCACCGACTCCGCCAGCGGGATGAGGTTGCAGATGCCGTCGAACGGCCGGCGGCGGTAGTCGCCGTCCAGTGCGGAGACGATTACGGTCTTGCCGGCGTCGGCGGCGGTGTTGCAGAATTCGACCACGTCGTCGAAGAACTGCCCTTCGTCCACCGCCACCACGTCGTACGAACGCCACGCGTCGCCGACCTCGCGTAGCTCCGCGACGGCTGCCGTGGCGCCAAGCACCACCTTATCGTGCGAGGAGACGCTCTCGCGATTGTAGCGCANAGCTCCGCGACGGCTGCCGTGGCGCCAAGCACCACCTTATCGTGCGAGGAGACGCTCTCGCGATTGTAGCGCACGTCGCGGGAGTGCTTGATCACGTAACACGACCGGCGCGCGAATAACTCGCGGCGGACACGACGCATCAACTCAGTCGTCTTTCCGGCGAACATGGGACCGATGATGAGCTCAATGTGTCCGTGGTTTTCAGTCATTTCTGCCATTTGAAAGCCGGCAAAAACAAAAAGGTAAAACACGTGGTTTGGTAGATGTGTGGTAAGAAAGCTTCTTGCTCAGGTGCGTCTGTACGCTTGCCTGTTTGTGTGCGTGTAATATGGAGCTTGTGGCGGAGGCCTGCTTAGATTAGTAGAATTGTGAGAGAAACAAGAGAAGAAAACAACGCCATGCACTTACTCGGTGGTGCGCCCCGCTGCCGAGCAGGACGTTGATGGGAGGAGTGACCCGGTGGCTGCTAGGCCAAGCTGACCAATACTACAATACACGTGCGTGTCATGTATTTGTACCTGCATCGGGAAGGGGTCCCTGGGGAGAAATGAATACAAGAAAGGAAGCGCCACAGTGGAGAGCAAAAAAGAACGAAACTCTACACTTCATGATCTAAAACGTAAAAATAATCCTTGCTTTTGGCTCTTAATGAGTGTTGTATCTAGCTTTACAAACAATAACGGTACATTCCACTAGAGCAATAAGGTGGTGCATGCGGCATCTGAGTATATTTGTGCCAGCTGCGATTCGATGGGCACAGACGCCACCCTCACAACCATGCAACGCCATTCACAATCTCTCCTCCGTCGTATGTCACCGGTTGCGCCGACGCGCCTCCCTGAGAGCCTGCTGTATCACCTCCTGGTCCTCGCGGTTCCTGTGGCGCCGGTAATCCGCGCCACCAGCGGCGTCGAGCGACGCCTCCCGCATCTTTTCCCGAGAGGCGGACGGTGACGACGACAAATTCACGTCACGTGGCACCAAAGCGCCACCACCGGTGTGTTGCTGTTGTTTCTGATTCTGGGGGGAGCGGGGCTGCGGCGAGTGCGGGCGCCGCAGCGGTGATGCGCCGGCGCACCACGACACGGGCATCGTGAAGTAATCGCCACCACGCTTCGCCTCAATCTCGCGGCGTTCCCGCGACGAGAAAACGGCACCCGCGGACTGCACAATTCGCTTCAGCGCGTACAGGATGCATTCTTCCGCCATGTGCAGGTCGTGCGTGGGGTCAACAGCAAAGCTGTCACGCGCGGCCCCAGTGGACTCATGGATGGCGTCCAACACAGGTTGGAGGGCGGCCCTCGCGTCGTGCAGATGATCCTTCACCGACAGCGCAACAGAAAGCGCGTGAGCGCGGCTATGCCGCAGGAAGTCTTCACCCTCGTCTTCTTGTGCCGCAGCCTTTGTATTCTTGCCGGGCTGCTGCTTTTCAACCAGAGCGTCATTTGCACGGCCAAGCTCCTCCGACAGGTCGCGGCACTTCTTCGACAGTTCGTCTAGGCGCACTGTATTGTTCCGCTCGTTCTCTCGCCAGTGCGCCACAACGCTGGCAAGCAGCTGCGCAAAGTACACGACCTCCGCAGCACTAGAAGCCAACACAGGTGGCTTCGCGTTCAGCATTCCCTGCTGTTGCTCTAACTGCCGTGGCTGTGGATACGCACTTGCCGTCCGGGTAAGTGGGGACGGCGTGGCGGTCTTTCTGGTGATTGGACGCGGCACGCGTGCGGACAACGACGGCGGAGCAATGCCGCTGCTATAACTGAGTGAGCGACCAAACGAGCGCAAGGCACTACCAGCCCCTGCCGATGCCCGCGTCCTGCGTATGGGACTCTGCACTTGCTCCTCGGTCGCGGAGACGCACTGCTTCAGCAGCTGCGCCGCCGTACTCATCGACAGAAGTGCCGCCGCCAGCTGCTCCTTCTCTGCCGCATTGCCGCGTTTCTGCCCTTTCTCCGCCGCGTTTCCGAGGTGCTGCTCAACGAAGGCGATAATGTCGCCGACCGTCTGCTCCTTTTCCGTCAACGGCACAGACAGCGTCTGCGTGCAGAATTGACGCAGTCGCTGGACTTCAGACGCACTTGCCGTTCCTGAAGCAGCAGAGGACGCCGTTTTAGAACGACGCAGCTTCATCACCTCGCCCTCGAGGGCACGGCGCGCGTCCTCTTCTTGCACTAGCTGTTTCACCAACTCATCCGCCCGTTGGTTTCTTCTGTTCATTTCGGTCTGCAGCTCAGTCACCGTGTTCTGCAGGCCAACGCGGTCCTTCTCAAGCCGCGCCGCGACCTCCTGCAGCTGCTTCCGCCCCGCCTCGCATGCCTCGCACCGCTGCATAAGCTCCACAACACGCCCTTCAAGCGCCTTCTTTGCTGCCTCCGTCTCGCGCTGTAGCGCGTCATTCTTCGCAAGTCGCTTGGAGAGCAGCTGCGTCTCCTGCCGAATGTGGTTTAGGAGTCCGTCGCGCTCGGCTTCGCTGCGCTGGTGGCTCGTCTCCGCCGCCGCACTCGCGAGTTCCCTTTCCTGCAATTCCTTCTGCAGTGTGGCAAGCTGTGAACGCAGCTGCTCGCAGTCGGCCTCATGTTCCCGTAGCTTTTCGCGGAACGCCTTCTCTGCCATGCGCCACTGCCGTGCATTGCTCTCATGTCTATCACACACCTCATCGTACTCCTCATACGCGCAACGCAACGCGGTGATGACGTCATTATTCTCCTCCTCTTTTCCTGCCGTCTGTGCTCTCGTGTCAGTTGCTGCAGCCTCACCAGAGAGTCGGCGACGCTGGCCCCCATGTCGCCGTGCCGCCTGCAACTCTGTCACCCTCGCCGCCTGCACGCGCAGGGTCTCGTGGTTCGCGGCGGCGGCGGCGGCATCCTGAGCGAGCCGCCTCTGCTCGCCATCAAGTGCCTCGAGTGCCTCGGTGGCCCTCTCTAGATCCTGCTTCGCCTGCTGCAGCATCTCCGCGAGGTGCTGCTTCCCACTCTCTTCCTCACGCAGCCGTGTCTCCAATGTGTGGGCCCGCGCTCGCTCACAGCGGTACTGTCGATCAACCGTTACCAGTGACTTCTCCGTCGCAGCAACTTTTGCCGTCAGCCGACCTGCGCGCTCTGCGAGCGACAGTGTCGCATCCTCCGTGACCAGCGCATCCCCTACTCGCGAGAGCTCCTCCGTCAGCGCAGCCTGACTCACCGCCATAGCCTGCGCACGTTCGCGCTCCCCATGAAGTTGCGCCTCCAGTTCCCGAAGCTGCGCTTCGGTGTTCGCTGCGACACGTGTGTTGACGGCACGCAGACCCTCCACCTCCTCACCCGCTGTCTTCAGCTCCTGCGCAAGGCGTTGAATCTCCCGGTTTCGACTCTCCACAAGCCCCTTCATATCGCGCCACTCCTGCAGGAAGAGCGCGGTCGTAGGGGCCGTCACCCTCTCCTCGCTTTCCGTCACTCGCGTTGAACCAACAGGAGATGAGCTTAACTGCAGCTGCACTTCTGCCTGCAGTTCCTGGCCTTTGAAGGTGAGGGAGAGGACATTCACCGGTACAGCTTTTGCCGCGGCCGCCACTTCGCCGAGCAAGAGGGCACGCAAAATGTCGTTGCTCGTTGCGTCGTGCGGCATGGCTCCCAGCTCGCCGTGGTCACTCCACTTTATTGAAAGTGACCGCGTCACAATCGGTGGTGCTTCTACTGCTTTGCGAAGCAGCTGTTGTTGCTGCTGCCGAACTGCGGCCACCTCTTGCCGCCGCTTTGTTTCGGCGTCGCGAAGCTCAGCGGAGGCTCGGCGGCGTGCCTCATTGAGGTTCGCAGCGGCCTGCTCTTCTTGGCGCTTTGCCTCGGCGGCGATTTCCTGAAGCCGTGCCGTAAGCTCAGCGACAGTCTTGTCCCGCTCCGCAAGTGTCCCTGTGAGCTGCTGGAGTTGAACATGCAGCTCCTTCTCCTTCGCCCGCTGCCTCTCAATTTCGCCGTACATTACTTTGACGGTCTCTTCCGTTTCATCGAGTGCTTCGTTCACTATGCGTCTGTCCGCTTCGTGGTGGTCATTTTGCCGGTCCAACGACGACTCCATACGCCGCAGCTGTTTCTGCAGCGCCGCGAGCTCTTCCTCCTTCGCCGCGAGGGCCCGCTGCGAGTTGTGCAGCTCTTCCTGAACCAAATCCCATCCTTCCTTTGGCGCGTCCAGGCGCTGCAGCAGCTGCGTCATGGCCACAAAGGGGCACTCCATCAGCTGAACCCCCACCACCTCCTCGCGGAGACCGGCGGGGCGGCGCACATCCACTTCAACAGCGACAACATCAGGCCCCTGATGCATCTCCACAATGGAGATAAACCCGTGCGGTGCACATAGCTCCAGCGACGCATCCGTTAGAAAGGCGCACCGCATCGCATCTGGTTTATTCTGCAGAAGTCGTACCCACTCAGCACCACGAAAAAAGCGACGGTGTCGCGTCGAAACGTACTTACTTGCTCCCTTCCACTGTACAGAAAGCTGTTGATTTTTTGAGCTGGCTGACACAGCCTCTCGGTGCTTGCGTTGCAACTCAAGAAGCTCCTTCTCTCGATCTCGCAGTGTCTGCCGCATTACACGATACTCTGCCTGGTAACTAGTGAGCTTTTCCTCTGTGCGGTTGTACTTCTTCTCCATCTCCGCCAGCTTCTGCTCGAGTGCTGAAACAGCATCTCTCTCCACCATTGGTGGGGCCGCTTGACTGGATGTGGGCTTGCTTTCTCTCAATGACAACTCGCCTGCTCTGGCGCAAGCTTGCGCCTCTTTAAGCTCCGCACGAGCAACCTCTAACGCTCGCTCGCGCTTTGCAAGCTCGCCCTCCATGTGTTTCTTCTTATACCACAACTCCTGAACACCGTCCATAATTTCCTGTACTGACACGGCGCATTTGGGACCCGCACCTTTCTCCAACTTATCATCGCTCTTCTTCTTCTTCGCCGCTGTCTTCGTGGAGTCCCCCTTCACCAGTGCTGCTAGCATCCCCAGCTGCTCATCGTATTGGCGCATACGGCTCTCATGAGCCTCGTCATAGCGCTTGATAAGCTGTTTCTCACTAAGGAGCGCCTCTAGCCGTTCCACCTGCGCCACTTGCTCCTGGAGCAAACACTGCAACGCGACTACATCTTCCACAGGCTTATCATCTTCTCTAGACGCTGTTTCAACCTTCGTGTCAACAGCGGAAGTAACGGAGTGGCGCCCCACGGTAGGAATCTGCACCACGCGGTTTGACCTGACGGCGGCAGAGATGGAACGAGGAGCACGCCCACGAGCGGCTGCTCGTGCCCCTTCCATTGATATATTTCCTTTTATGTATATGTTCTTCCCCCCTCCCCCTTACAAACGACACAAGGAAGTAAACTGGCAAGAAAGGAGAATTATTTGTGTCCGGAGCATCCCCCTTCAATAATAAAAAAAAA